TGGCTTTAGTGAGTTTCCAGGTATTCACTGGACTGAAAACTAACAAGAGTCCAAAGTCTAACACCAGGTCCAGATCTGTGCCAGCATGAAGTCCTCCAGTGGGAAAAGGGAGAGCAGTCTGCCTCAAAATCACAGTTTCTGTCTGTATTTTCTGAGGTCAGAAAAGCTGCAGAGATACAGGATTCTGAACTTACTGTTGAAAAATAGCCTCATACTCCTGACTGTGTGTTCATCACAACAGATATTTATTGGGTATGGATATTTATTTCCAGCTCATTACCATGATCCCTGAGCRAAGGAAAGCAGGTGCATTTGTTCACCTCAGCAAGGCAAGGCAACCAACTTTTTCTCCTGTGTTTTCCTACCCAAGTTAGGCAGGTGAGCCCAAGAACCAAGGTTTCCAAAGGTCCTTTGCACTCACAGTTCTTGCAGCACGGTGAGACCAGAGAAACCCAGAGTGGGGTCTGCTCCAAAGGCCTTACAAATGCACCAGACATGGGAACAAAGAGGGTCTGGAGAAAGTAAAGGGCACACTTGGTACCCTGATTTCTCAAGGTTAGTACTGCCACCAGAATTAAACTAAAAATGTTTCACAGTTTAAGAGTGTTAAATATTAGGAGCAAAAATTACTGCAAAACTTACAAACTTAAGGACACTTATTTGCCTGCTTTTCTGCAAATACTAATGGTGGATTAGAGAGCAAATGCTGAAGTGTGCCGTGAATTTTTTTAAGTCTGACATGTTACAGGTGAAGCATGTCAAACAACATTCTATTAAAAAAAAACAAAACCAAACCCAAAGCAGCAAGACCCCCCCTCCCCAACCCCACTAAAACCTCACCTTCTTCAGATTATTTTTTACTTTTATCAGAGCCAGCAAGCTGCTGCAGTTCGAGAGCTCTGCAGCCTCCAGGAACCCACACACTGTTTGCATGTGAACCAGTTGCTTTTGTGTCACATATGGCACTGGGAGCCCAACAGCCCAGTTTGGCACCACTGCTGCCTATGAACTCCACAGCAGCTGAAATTCGGCCACAGCAGAGCAATGGCTAAACTGAAGTATCCTGATGGCACAGAAATATCTTTGGAAATGCCTCTGTGTGCATAGAGGAGAAAGAGAGGGGAAGGAGGAATGAATTTGAGCACAAGTTACAAGAAGTGTTCTATTGATTCCATTGGCTGTTCTTGAGGAGTAGGTAGCATGGTGTGGAAGATGTCTTTGGAGGTTTTGGGACAAACACATCAAAGTGCTTTTTGCTAAGCTGGCATTCAATGTACTCTTACTTTTCGAAGTTAGTACCCCCACTGAAGCTAAAAGTACCACCTCTCAGCTAATTTCAAAATTTCAATCCACACAGGAAGTTTTTGATTTATAGTCCACACTTGAACTTTAAAATTAAACTTCCACATTTAGACATCAGGAAGTTCCCAAATTACATTCTACTATAAAATGCTAATTACAGAGGTTGGTGGGGTTTTWAAAAAATTCTTTACAGATAAATTTAATTCTGGAGTCATGCCTTGGCATGAACAGTAATTTCAGCAACAAGTTCAAGGGCACAGAATAGAAATTGCCAGAACCTATTATGGATACACAAACTGAGGCAGGAAAACAAGCAGTTTGCCAAATAGCTAGTCTGCCTATGAGCCTTAGGTAGCAGGATTACAAAATTTGAGTCACTGGAAGATTATCTTCCAGAAAGAAGCATATAACCCAAAATCTCAGGTAGTTCAATATTAGTTTATTAAATCAGCAATTTTTATCACTGCTTTCTAAAAATGATTACAAAGCATATTAAAATATATTACAGTATCTGCAAAGAATTTACTGTGTAATAAAAGTGCAACAATAATGAACTTACAATTTTGTTTGCCTACTTGGACAAACTGAAGCACACGGCACAGATCAAGCCTTTCCTCAAAAATCAGAGTGCCCTTGAAGTGAAAACAGTATTTAACAAAAATATTAGAAAAGGTGAGCATGTGAATAGAGAACAAAGTTTATGTTCATTCTCTCAGTGCTAAGTTAATCATATCCCTCAAACATAAACTTCAAACTCTGCTTGAGATCCAACAATWTAAAGAGCCACCAAAATGAGTGCACATTGTGAAGGGAAGGAAGTGACAAAAAGAAAAAGAGGTGCATTTCAAGTGCTGACAATAAACAATGTTGAAAGCCAGGGACCAGACACCTGCTGCTTTGAGACCAGGTTCCACACAAATCCACACCATACCCAGCTAACAACTGGGACCTCACCCTGACTTAAAAATCTTTGTAAACCCTCCAATTTCAAGCTGTCACAGCTTTAAACTGTCACAGTCTCTTGGTGTCCTGTATTGTGGTTATGAGCAGTAATCCCACATTTTCTGTGCCAATCTTCAACAAAACCTCATAATTTCTTAAAGAACAGAACTAGGATTGCAAATTAACAACAAATCCTCAATTTTTGAAGGAACAGAACTAGGACTGCAAATTAAAACTGTTGTGGAGTTGGAGAAGAGGTAAAAGCAGCAGTTTCTACTTTAGTTTAAGACAGTAGGCTACAACACAGGGCACAGATTTCACAGGATGAATTACAGCCAGGTTTGAGTGATCCTGCAGARAATGTTATTAAAATCCTAGGCATAAAATACCCAACAAACCCAACACCTTCACCTCTCTTCAGCAGATATTAATAACAATCTGAACACCAAAATCACCTCATACTGCTGCTACCAATAACTACTCAGAGGATACAATCATGAGAGAAGGCAATCCCRCTCACTTCTCATGCTATTAGCACACAGATTCACTAAYTCCACAGCACATTATCCAAACAGTTGTGTGTGGCTGGTTTAACCAGCTGAATGGCAGCAATGCCAATGGGGGAGGTCCATGGATCTCTGAGGAGGYTGTGAGAAGAGATCCCTCCCCTGAGCAACAGCAACCTACGCTATCAGCTGAGTTGTGCAAGAAACTGCTGTTTAAAGTTCACATGAAATGTCCTTTATTCTATCAGCTAAGTGTGATGCTAGCTCACTGTACCACACTCCTGGAAATGCATTTATGTACTGTGGATGCCGACCACGAAACACTTCCATTTCTCCAGACAGCTGGAGAAAAATCCACCTCTACTATACATGCTTCATGCATTCATCTTCCAAATTCTCCAGGAACACAAACCAAAATAGTACAASCCCATCCAGGTAAAATACTTTAACTTATCAAAATGATATATTTTAATTTGCCTTAAGACCAAGTTAGCATACTGTCACAGAGACTGAGGAAAAGGCTGTGTTCTCCATTTTACTACCAATAAAACTAGAAAAATAAAATAAAACCACTGAAATGATCCTGCTCTTCTTGCTGAAGGAGGATATTTCTAATGGAATGGGATCACATGGCTCCAAAAAGTCTGGAGCATCACCCCTGGAAGCCACATGTGGTGGAAACTCAAACACAGCTCCACAGCTGTAGCCCTGTGTGGCTGCAAAGCAAGCTAAGGCAGTGTTGGAAGATCAGCAATTCCCAGATCCTCTCAGCTTTGCCTACACCACAGCAGTCACAACACTCGAGCTTGCATTCTTTCTCCTGGTGGCTTTCCTGGTTGATCCAGTCACTAAGCTGGTCAGTAGTGTATGAAGTGGTACTGGCTGCAGGCACTACCCACAAACAAGCACACATTGCTATTCCTGCAGCCTTTTTCTTCTTCCTTTAACACCTGCAATGTCTACAGATTACTTTTTGCTCAATCAAAAATAAATTATGTAGAAAATAGTTACTCTTCAGATGTACAGTCACACAGGTAGGCTCAGGGTCAAGTTTCACAGCTCTACTAAAGTGCACAGAGATGCACTAAGGCTAATTTGGCTCCTAATTTAGGTCTAACATAAATAAAGTTGGTAGGCTTCAATAGTAGGAAAACCAGCTAAGAATTAAAAAAAAAGATAAAAATCAAGTCCTCAGAACAATTTAACTATGCCAGGACATCCTTGATATGGGCCCAGAAACCTGGCAAGGTAAAGGTGGTGTTCTGCCATTACTTAAAATAGCATCATTGTTTTCCAGTGGAAGAGCCCTGACAAAGTTCTTGGAAATTGCACCTCAGAATAGAACAGATGCAGAAAGACAAGAGGTCCAGAAAGATTTGAAGTATTAAACCTGGCAAATTACAAATGTATGATTTGAAAAAAGAAACTGAGGCTTTTCTTAGATCACCTACAAAACGGAACACAGAAGTGTGACCAAAACCTTAACTGGGAGACAATATCCAAACTATTTCCTTCCCCACCCCTATTGCAAGGATGTTAAAGCACTTTTTGGGTTACTCTGTCTCAGGAGGCATTACTGCTGCCACTTAATGAGACTCAACAAAAAGTGCTCAAAACTACAGTACCTTAGGGTGTAGGGCATTTCATATTAYAAATGGAATACAAATCAATTTCTGCTCACACACAGAGAACAGAACTGATGGCCAAATTTGATTTTAGGAAAGAACTGGCCCTCCCTGAAAAATTTATGTTCACAGGGCCAAAMATTTGCCTTCTTTTTACCATCAGTTGCAAGCAGATGGTATGTTCAACTTTGATTGTGTGTTGTTGGAAAATAGATGTTTATTAAGCACCCATTCCTTTCCTGGATTGTTTTCAATAAAGGAGTAATATTTGGAGGAATATTTGGAGGGATGAGTCTATCATTTATTACTATCAACATAACAATTCCTGTTAGCCTCCTCATCTTTCAAATCTGCCACCATGGGAACTGAATCTCTCCTTTGCTGTTGTCAGCTACATGTTGGCAAAAGAAGGCATTAAAAACGTCTCTTAAATATATTTAACATATTAAAAAAATACACAGACATAACTATAATTAGCTGTAAGTAGAAATTAAATACCAATGAAAATATCCCGAGACAATCTGATGTGCCTTGAAGAAGATGGCTTTGAGCAATACACCTTTTCAGAACAAAAAGTGAGCCTTCATTTCAATGCAAACATGTTTTTTTTTGGTTTTTTTTTTTTGTTTTGTTTTTAGCTTAAGAAACCATTCTGCTGTAACTTTGAACCATTCAGAATTCATTGTCTGCAGAGAAGCTAAACTTAAACCGCAAAGGAAATTCTGAATCCCGGGAACAAAGGAGATCTCAGTTTTTCTGATGATAATACTGAATATATAGAGCTGTGTAAAACTGAAGAAGCTGCTCTTCAGATAAGACACAATGACTGAGTAACTTTAATATTTTTCAGTTCTAGCTAGAATCTAAAATTTTAAAACAAGTTTGYTCATATTCTGAGCACTTACTCCTCATCACTCCTCTATTTTTTTCCAACTTCAATTAAATAACAAAAAGACTAAAAATAAAACTTTCTTTTATATMATTCTTTTCTTAGACTATGGAGATGCTGACATTCACTCACTAGCTTAAGCACATTTTTAGCATTTAAATATTCCTTGCATAGGCAGGTGAATTTAACAGGTTGATCTTCTGTGYGCTATTTAGAATAATTTGGAGAGACAGGGCTGATAAGAATTTAGGTTTGGTGAAGGTCAGCAATTTCTATGCATGGTGTTTTCTGCTTTAGGTGGTAAAGGCAGCAAGACACATACACAGGACTCAAAAACATTTTCACCTTATGACAGAGCTATTGTAAGGCACTTGTGAAAAGCATGTCTGAGTGAAGGTCAGCAGTACAGGAATGTTTCCCTGCCGCCACACTTATAACTTCAGTAGCTTGCGTGAAATGTGCTGTGAGGTTAAGGATCTAAGCTTAATTTCAAATTTTGGTGTTTTCAACACATTTCCTGTGGGATGCTCCAAATCCTCATTCTCTCATTCTCCTCCTTGTGTTGCTCATTCTGCTGTCTGGAAAGGTTTCCTGTGAGAGGGTGGCACCAGGTGGGAAGGCAGCGTGCCAGGCAGTTCATATCCATCCAGTTTAATCTTGATGAGATGTTTTGCTAATGCAAACTCTTCATCATCCAACATCCCATCGCCATCACAGTCTGCRAGTTTCCAGATCTTCCCCAAGACACTGTTGGGTAGTTTAGAAGTCACCATCTCCTTCTTTGCACTAATCCCAGATATTTTGCCATTGATTGGTGACAGAGTGTAGAAGATCTCATCATAAGCAGGCTTATCTTTGGCAACAACCCATTCTTCTTCATCAGCCCCTTCCTTAGCACCTTCCCCGTATCCATGGCCAAAAGGTCCTGCCATGGTGCCATCAAATGCTCCCCCATGTACCATCTCTGTGGGCATATTGCTCTCTTCCTGTCTGATTAGGTTCATCAGGGCAGCAATTTTGTTGGCCAGCATGTTATCCACAGCTTCAATTAGCTTTGGTTTCAAAGAATGGAATTTAGTGAAGTCACAATTCTCCARCAGCTCCTGYGAATGACACAGYRACAGTAGTTAAAAGTGATTCCAATACATTGAAAAGTTAGAAGAGTGGGCTTCAAATTAAAATAATCAAGTAATAATTCAATTAAAATAAATATCTTTTGAAGCTGTTTCTGTAGCTGAAACTCCTCCTGAAGGAGAAACAAAAGTCCTGTATATGAACCATACACCCCAATATATTGAACAAACATAGTAAGACGATTTTGTGACACTTCATGGGTTTGTCTATCAAATCGCATTTACAATACAACTTCCAAAATGCAGTGGATAAAACCACATTAGTTGATGAACGTTACCCAGCAACTTTCCATTTGATGATCTTCTTGCAAACATGAAATAAAGCATGCAAGCCTTCAATCCTRCTAGCACTTATGCAAGTGTTGAAAGTTAAAAATAAAATCAAATGTTTGCAGGACTGAGCTGATTTTATAGATTAAACTTCTTGGTTGTGGTTAGGTCAGGAGGAAGTCTCCTTTGACAAAATAGAAAAGCTGAGCTGGGATAACAGCAGCAGTGTTTATAGCAGTGTTGCCAGAACTCCTGAAGTCATATGGCCCCTGCAGAATTTGTGCCATTTTCATCCTACTAACCCCTCAGTGAGATGTTTACCTAAATGATATGTACTTATTCCAACACAAGCCCAAGCATGTTTTACACCCCAGCATTGGAAAACTAAAAATGCTTTAGGCAATTATTAAATTATTTCTACATGCAAAATGCTTRCCAGGGAAAGAAAGTTACAGTGGAAACTCTAAAAAAACCCCAAATATCACCACCATCATCACCTCCCACCCTCCAGTAAAATGATGTTAAACTGCTTGAACAAATCCCATCTATCACCTCAAGGAGCTGCTCCTATACATATCAAAACAATAATGACATGAACCCAAGAAACCTGGAGCACAGGCTGAAAACAGTCAACCTACAACTGTGTTCAGGTGACATTTATTCACAATCACTTGATCAGTATAAATTTATGTTGTGCCATAAATCTCAGTAAGCAAAGGTCAACTTGCTATCTGTTTTGGCACAATTTTGTTTTCACACAATTGTGCTTTCTCACAATTTYGCTCCTTGTTACAGAAGTGACTGATCTCTCCTGAATATATTTGCTGCCCTCTGCTGCTGAGGCTTAACTGACATGCACAGTAAGTTTGAAAGAGTTTCAACCAAATTTTGTTTCAATATTCAAATCTCTCAGTCTCTCCTTTTGCATCACAAACAAAAGCAGCAAGAGTAGAAAGTGAACTTTTGCCACAAAATCCCCTTCTAAAGCCTAACTCCTGAAACTCTCCCAACAATGCTGCCTGTGAAAACTTAGCTAAASTGCATCTTGAGCTTCTTCTATGATTTGCTTTCTCATGCCAGTAGCTGATTGCCAGGTTAAATATCTTAGTTCATGAAAGAAAGTTATGCCTTCCTGTAGATAATCAGCCAATCATCACTCTTGATGATTAGCTRTGCAAGTGTACCACATACACTGTCAGAATGATACGACAGGAAAACATCCATCATCACGCTTGTGACTGYCCATGGTCAGAGCAGACTGCAGACCTCTTGTTCTTCAGCTTCCAAGCTGAATTTCCTCTAATTCAAAGACCGTTTAAGAATCTTATGATCTGAGATCCAAAAACTGCCAAATGAAGCTTGAGGAACAAATTTGAAATAACTGCTAACACAACATTAGCTGTTCTTCCCTAGGATGCTTTCTAAACAACTMATCTCAAATCAGAGAACAGAAATAAAACGGCAAGTAAGTGACAGGAAGTTGGCTGAAAGACTGCAGAAAGTCCAAAAGAGGAAGAGACAAAAAGTATTTAAAAATTAGTAGTGAGTATGAACCAAGAACTTCTCTCTCTCTCCTTCACAGAATACAATCTTAACAGTACACGAAAAAAGCTAAAGACTATTTTCAGAAGCAACAGGCTTTAAGTTGGCCTTTTCATGTATCACTTTGCCTTTATTACTCACTGGCAAACAGTACCAGGAAAAACAGGAACAGAGGAGGGTAAAAATGAACTTATGAGTAAGGATATCTTCACCTACACAAATATTTGATACCATTACAAAAATGATAAATATAACCAYGCTTAGGATTCAAAACAAGAAGCCCCTTAATCTGTGAGTGTTCACTGCTATTTTATTTGCACAAAGCCTTTAATACTATCTGCCGTGGGGGACCAAGTACTGACTAAAAGCACAGAAGGTCAGATTCCTCATTCCTTATGTAGTCCTGTTTCAGAGAATGCACACCAAGCAAGTTACCWTTTTTTTGTCTGTACCAAGTCACTCTTACCTCATATCAAGCAAWGACTGTCACTTCAATTGCTCTAGTGCCCAAGACCCTGCGCTCTAACTCTGAGATAATCTGTCCTACCTTTTCAAATTGGCAATCCTGTTAAAAAGTTAAGAGTTATTTCAGTGGAATGGTAATCTGCTATCTTACCTGCATTTTCTTGACTTCAGGGAAGTCCCCTGCTGAGATATGGTATTCCCTTTGCAGCTGGATGTAAATCTCTGGCAATTTGTTGATCAGTTCCTTCTTTTTGTTCTCTTTTCCAAATACAGAGGGCATCTCTTTTTTCAGATAGCTGATGATATAAGCATGAACCTAAAAAGAAGCAAAACTGAAATCAAAACTACTCTTTACTGACACTAAACATCAGTGTTCCTCACCTAGGTCATAAAAAGAATTAGAAATATATTTCCCCAAGGAAAAGATATTATCAGCTACAGTTACTGGAATTTTGTGTTTACATGAACAGTTAGCTATCAGTTATTATTAGTTTTTGCTGTTTTCAGCATTCCTTTGAGGGGCAGAGACAAAGGAAGCACATTTCAAAGGAATACAGATGCACACTTGCAGTTTTAAGGAGAAGCCKGGTACAGCATTCTGTGAGTTCCGAGAGTGAGAGAAAAAGCAAGACCCCAAAACCACACACACACAGAGCAAGCTCCAGCCATGCTGGTCCCTCTAAGTGATTTTTAATTCATTTGCCTCACCAGCCATTATGGGAATCAATGGGATAATTCCTCCAGTAATGCAAGTATGCTAAGTGGCAGGGCTGTCTGCTTGATATTGCATTCCTACCTATTTACTCACAGAAAAGTGAGTACCTACAGCCTGTATTTATGCAGATGGCATAAATACTGCAGCAGCCAGWAGGAACAGCATGCCATGGCTGCCTTGAGAAGCCTTAGGCAGAAAAGYAGGGCCTTTCCAGCTTATAAAGAAATATATTCATTTCGGATGACAAGTCTTTAAACACATTGATTCTTGCACTGACATCAAAATATCCATCCACCCATGCCACCCTCCTTCTACCTTTATTCTGAATTGTTCAGACCTTGCCACTCTTCCACCACCTTTCACCACCAAAAGGATCTGCTTGGCCACAGAGCAAGTGATCAGGTCCAGAACAGAAATCGTGGCTGCACTTCCTAACTGAAGGGATATCACTCATCCAGCTCTTTGTGCTAACAGGGACACTCATTTTGCACACAAGAGGGAAGGCACCAGGGCAGCGTTCTTTAGAAGCCATAACGTGGTGTTATCAAACKGCTGTCCTAAGCTCTGACCCAGCCTGGACCACGGCATGACCTCCACAACAGAATGTCTTTAGAGAACTCAGGTCCTTGTTCATTTAAAAAGAGTTTTCTGYCCACAAAACAGAAGTCACTTACAATTTTCACACACAGAAAAAGGAGTTAAAAAGTGGTTATATTTATCAAACTGTTGGGCAATAAACAGCTGAAATTTTGAAGACTGGGGGAAGACAAACTACCACAAAAAAGCATCAGTAAAACAAGGGATTGCTCAGGTGTTCTGTAATACTTAGCACCTACCAAAACATGACAGAATGTGCATTATCATGTTCTATACAAACCTTACACACCCTSCAAATGGCAATTGCTCTCCCTTTCCTTACTTATTTAGGAGGAAACTTAAACCAAAAATATGTTTCCAAAGAAAAAATATGCAACCAGTTTTCATGYGCACATCTTAAGTTCACAACTTGCAGACAACACCACTTCTAAACACTATCTAAAAAGAGTATGCATTTTAATTGTAAATAAATTTACATTTCTACAGAGGAGAAAAAAGCCCAGCATAAAGAAGCATAAACCTCTGAAATTTTCTAAGAGAATAGATATGAGTATTTCTCCAGAATTACAGAATGGATTCAATAAGAGAGTTGATAAGTTATTGTAAGTAATTTCATGGATCTTATGTCTAAAATAATACTTCTATCAGACCCACAAAAGTATGTTTATAATTCACAAGAAATAACAGTTTCACATGCGTATTCTAAGTGGCCTGAGGTCTGCCAGGGTGCACATGTGTTTCTGGTAGATAAGAACAGTCCCCATCTTCAAAATGGGACAGTGAGTCACAGGACTTAGGAAAAAAAAAAAAAGAAAAAAGGCTAATGCCCCAATTTGACAGCATTTYACGAGTTTGCTTTTGTTTCTAGCTATTGGAAATATTTCAGAAGAGATAAAGAAGAGGGTAGCACAGAAATGGGGTAAGAGAAACCCCCTGCAATGCTGTAAATGCAATTTTTGAGTGTCAGTCCTTTGATATCATTTTGGAAGGCAGAAAGCTGACGCTGGATTACATTGCTKCTTTCCTGCAGATAAACAGTTTATTCCCCTTCCGTAACTGTCTAGCATATCCCTAAGAGCACTGCKTTCTCTATTTACCTTCACCCATTTTTATTTTACATTTCGTACAAATATCTAAAAATTATTCAACTGACACTCCTTCAATGCCAAAATGATTGCAACAAATGGAAACAAAATGCTGGCAACACCTACAAAACCAACTGGATCTGAGATTGCTCTGGGATCAGAGCAACTGTTAACACATCATTGGGATTTTCAATGGCATTTTCAAAGAAGCACCTTCAGATCACAAAAAAAAACCCCAAACAAACAAGTGGCCCCTGTTCCAAGCCCAAAAAATAATGAAAAACAACTCCACCAAAAACAACTCCAGAAGAGTATCTTCAGGGCAATATAGGAAGTGGTACACATGCCCAAACAACTGCTCGTATACCAATGGAATTGTGGGTACTCKCCACTTTTGATTAGAAGCTCACATTAAAATGTGTTTCAAGCCAAAAGCATTTTCTTTGATAACTGCACAGAAAATCAGAATTCCTGTCTGCCTCCAATAGCTTTCTCCCCAAGTGTCTGTCTTTTTCTTGAAAAAGTGACAGTGCAACCCAAATGCTAATAAGACTCAGTCTGAAGTAAGAGAAAAATTGGGAAGGGTGGGAAAGCACACACTGAAAGAGCCGCAGAGACTGCTCATTTAGTTCCATTTTCTGATCTTCTCTTACCTTTGCAAGTCTTGCCCTTTTAATGAGATCGTTGAGTTTCCTCACAGCTGCCTTCTGCGGGAGACTCTGGATATCCTTGAAAAGATCCTGCGCCTCGGCTTCGAAGAGCCTTCGGTTCTCGGTGTTGCGGAGGGGATGGGCCCAGAAGGAGCCGATGTAGACCCGCAGCACCTCGGGCGTGTCGATCACCTTCCCCAGGGACCACATGAGGGCACCGTAAACCCTCATCAGCTGCTGTGTGTCCACCTGGTCAGCCTTGTTGAGCACCACGCGAATCTTGTCATCCTGGCCCCGGAATGATTTAATGGCCTCTGAGAACTCATCGGAGATATCCAGCTTATGGGCGTCAAAAAGGAGGATGATGCGGTCCACCCTCTCAGCAAACCACTGCAGGACTTGGCAGAAGTCGTAGCCTGAAGGAAGAACACACTCTTATAGTCTTATCATTCAGAAAAGTGAGTCCCCAAGAAGGTAGGGCTGGGGATAGGGAACCAGGGGATAATGCCTCTACCTGGGGAAAAAAGGAGATTGATCACGCCTAGGACAGTATCTGTGGGCAATGATGACAAGACAACTGCATCCTGCATTTCCTTAGACCCGTCTCACTATCACCACCTTTTGTTTTTATCACTGCCCCTTACCACCCATCTCTTGCATCACTGTCTTTTGTGCTGCTGTGAGTTACTGTCTCACACCCACATTTGTCTCTTCCCAGGAGTTCTGGCTCCGTCACAGCACCCAGGCCAAACAGGACTGTGGGGCTTTGATCACAATCTCCCTTCAGCACTGCTAATATTGGTCTTAGGCAGCACTGCTTATCTGAATTAACAAGGAAAATGGTGCAGGTGCAGCATTCCAGTGCAAGTCAGCAACTGGAAATATTTGGATTTAAAACCATTTTCAAACTCATCTCTCCTTACCTTACAACACTTGCTGTTATTTCTGCCACAACAGACTTCAAAGTACAATTTACAAGTAACATGACTGCATTGCTGAGCATTTTGAGGACATGGGAGGTTACAGAACACAAGCAGCRACCTTTCTGATCACCTGAAACAAGCTTTATCATGTTCTAAAGGAAAGCCTATTCATAGCACCTGTCTAAATGCTTTTACAGGTTCAGCTGGTGCCTARTCCCCACAACAAACACTGTTCAGGAACTCCTTATCCAGAAGTGACACATCTAATCCGCAGAGTCACCACTGGTGATRCAGCTTTGGCTTTGCCATGGATGTGACTCATCTTGTACCAGTAAGGACCAGCAAAGGGTGTACTGGGAGCTGACATCCCACCCCTCCTCTTCCTCTCGGAGACAAATCAGATCTGAAAGAGGGAGCAATCCCAATTCAAGGACTGTGTTAAGCAATCCACACAGAATCGACAGTTTTGCTCCCAGCAGCATACATTAAAATGCCAACAGCAAACAAAGCTCAGTTACTGCCATCTAAACCCTCCACTGTGTCTCTGGCTATTTCTCAGCTGTGAAAAGAGAAGTCTTTAAATCTCCARTCCTCCAGACAAGAAAGCCCAGACTCATATAACAACCAAACCCTTCATACACCTGGTCCAGATACAAACAAAAGACCCTTCAGCACTCCTCATTCTCCCTAGCATCTCTTAACCAGTGTGAACAAAAGGGTGTAGGAGGGAACATTGTGAAGTTGCTTAGCTTTTCTTAATACTGGTTCAGTCAAGTCATTATTCATTATACCTTCAAGTTGCTGGTCTTCAACAGGGGAAGCAAAAGCAAATCAGCTGGTTGTTTGTTTGGATGGGTTTTTTTTTGTTTTCCAGTAGAACCTGACAAGTGCCAACACCAAGAAAAGCAGACATACATGAATGTAACAGGAAAAAACTCCTCCAGATTGGTCATGGAGCACACTTGTGCATGTTTAGCCACACAGGAAATAAACTGGTCTTAAACCTTTTGCTTACAAATTACAACTAGCATGTGAAATTAAATCCAGAAATTCTAGCTAAAATTAAGAAAATATCCCCAATTATCTGTATTACCTGCCCTGCACCCCTAAAAAAAAAAGTCATAAAACTCCACTAAAAAGCCAGCAGAGACACATCAAAATGTGAAAGGAGGGGGRTGTGTTAAAAAGCTGATCATGCTGCTCTGGGGCTTTCATAAATTTTTTCCTGTGATCAGTTCCTGAAGGGCTGAATGTGAGATGAAAGGCGAGGGGGCAAGGATGAAAGCTGCACAGAACATCTCTGCAAGACAACTCTTCTCACCTTACACTAAGAATCTAATCACAATCAGTATGAGTAATTKATAAAAATTTAGCAAGATCTAAAGGGAGAAGTAGGATCTCTGACATCATTYATATGTCACAGCACAGTTGCAAGAGGGCACTAATATTCAGCTACAAAATAGCCTGCTCTGATTTCACTCACATAAAAGGAAATACATCTGAAATTAAATAAAATTGCAAATTGAAACAATCTAAATTCTTTTAAGTTTTCCACAAATGGCTATGTGAGAGGGTGACTTAAAAGTTGGGTTACATAAGCATATAAGTTCCCACCACACATTTGGACTATGAACTGAARAAAGTAACTGTACAATTAACAGGTGCATAACAAAATGAATTTATTTTAAATGTGGATTAAATATTAATGAAGCACTTGTTTTGCGAAAGACTGGTCTGCTTGTTGCARATGGCTGATAAAGACTTCAGAAACKCTGAAAAAAWKAATTAAWTTTAATGAAAATTTGTCATTAGAAGTGAACTTAATTTATCTACAGACTCAGCAGATTTTCATTAGAGGGTATCTGAACTACAGGGAAGTGATAAATGATTGAAGTATTTCCACACATGTGTATGGACCAGGGCTTTGGAAGCTGAGCAGTACTAGGTTAACACTGATCAGATGGGAAAACTCGATGAAAAATGTTTTGGTGCTGATACTTCTCCGCTTCTTGTTGCTCTAATTGCTATTTCTCCAAAGGTTTGTTCCCAGTGACAGATGTCAACAACCATATCCAAGAAGAGGACCTCGGTGTCACCAAGTGCAACACCTGCTTGCAAATGCACATTGGAAAGTCACAAGCCATCCTTGTACTCACATTTAAGTAAGTCCAGTGTTTAAAAATATAAACTAACCAATTTTTCCCTGAACTCTTTCCCCATACTCCTTGAAACACTTGCCTTCATGCCAYTCAATCATGAACCAAACACCCCCTCCCTTCCAAAAAAAGGGTTCCTGCCCACATCCTGACAGACACCCATTTTTCCTTCCAAATTTTGCAAACAGACATTTCTGTCTGACAGGGGCTTTGTGAACATCGCCAGTGATGCTGCAGGAGCAGCACAGGGACAGGCATTGTCAGACCAGGGGACAATGCTGGCACACATCTGCACATTCTCCTCCAGCCACTTGCACAGCCCCTGAGCTGACAGGCAGGAAGCTTCTGGCACATCCTCCTGCCGACAACAGCAGCGGGAAAGGTGTGTCTGGAGACATCTTCCAATGTTGCACTCTGTGTATATTTTTGACCAATCATCTGTGGCCTGGATGCTTTCCAGAATTAAAAATAGAACTTGCTGGGAAATAGTGCATGTCYTCTCACTTTACATAGTCCCTTTACTGTTTTCCTGCATGTTAAAATGAAACATAACATTTGATTCCTTTCCTGGTCYCAGAAGGCTTCAACTTACTCCTAGTGATACCTGTCAAATTTTAAAATTTTACAGTCATTCATAACTAAATAGTTAAGCAGCTGCTCGTGAGAAGATGGAAAAAAAAAACCACTGACAGCAGAGATAAGGTTTTACACTGAGCCTGGTAATGTTATTTTTCCATCAAACAYTTTAAATAAGAAGATCTGCAGCTCACCAATGTAAGACACAAGCTAAACTTGGAGAAAGCAGAACCCTCTCTGAAAGAGACACATTCAGGACAGCAGAAAACATCTCGTAGAATCCTGTTTACGTTTGCACACAATGACTTAGAAAGTCATCAAAGCAACTCAAACTTCAAAACATSCTAAATTAGACTTACAGCATAAATATATTTAAATCACAGCAGCTCCTTCAGGAACCAAGTCAGGCAAGCCTCGCATTGTGCAGCATCACAGTCAAGTTTGTGCTCCACAAAACCACCTAAATGCAAACTGCATAAGCAGCCCAAAAGCCATACATAGGAAATGTATCTAACTAAACAATATTTCAGCCAAGAGAGCACAATATTTCCTAACCACGACAGCATGGAATATGTGCATGCAATAAATCCATAGGCACTTCTACACCACTTCTTGTATGCTGATGTCTAAATATATGAAACTTTCATTAAACCTGCCCTGAAAGCCTGGGACACAGATAACAGTGCTCTAAAGCCAGCACCCAAAATTTCACACATGGTACAACAGCTTACAGGAGAATCACACTTTTATCAAAGAACTATGACAAGTGACACATTCAAGATTATTGTTAACACACAGAAAAAAATTAATGAAATGCAATCTAATCAAGCTAAAGCCTATGAAACAGGTAAGGGTTTGAGGTAATCACTGAGCTMCATCAGCTTAGGTGAAAGTCTACAATATCAAAGGGCAGGCCAGATAGGCTGTAACAATTGATAAGGCACATACCACCAAGACACYGAGCTTCTGAACAATAAGGGAACAAGAGTCTTATGTTTTATTAAATCACAAAAGCAATTCTAGATGGTAGTGAAGAGTCATTGTCCTTTAGGCAACACAGGACTAACAGTGAAACACAACTCTGTCTTGCACTGGGAAGCCTGAGACTTCCACAGCATTCCCTAATGGTGTTGAATTTGGTTACACAACTGCTCACTTTTTCAGTGGCATATTAATGTGAAACTCTAATTTTTTTTCTTATTCCACGTTCCCTTCCATACTGTTATGAAAGTGGCAACAGATACTTGAATGCTGAYAAACATAATTTTCTCTTGATTTAACAAGCAGAGAAGGGTAAGATGCACCTAATTTTAACCTGAGGAGGAAAAAGGGAGCTGAAATCCGAAATGGAGAAGCAGGCGACTGCTGATTTCATCAGACTGTGTATATTTGGATTTAAACATTTTGTGGGCATTTTATGAGATTTTTACAGGACTAAAAATCATAAATTATACACAATTTTTTCTGTCTAGAAATGAGAGTGCCAACATGCAGTATTTGTTTTAGTTCTGGTTTCACAACATTCAAGCCTTTGCTTGCACAGACACAGAGCTCTCATGCTGTTCATCTCTATTTCACCAACACATCACATAAAGGAAAGTCCAGTGCTCTCCCATGATGAATGCTTTACATGACTATGAGTAATAATGAGGACAAAACGTCACTGRAAAAAGAATGCAGAAGCACCTGGCAGACCAGTTTACTAAGTAAGCATAATTTGGATTACAGTCCTAAGAAGCAAGTCCCTTATTCTGTCAGATTATTGTAAAGACAAGCTTATTGTTGCAGAGCTGCCATATATTGTGCTCATACCAGGATTTCCTAAAAAAACCCAGGTGAGATATGTTAAAGAACAGTTTATTTCCTCTGACAGAGACATGAAACACAAGTTTCCACTTCTTAAGCAAGGGTCTGAAAACAGAGGGCAGCATAAGCCACACCCTGCATCTCTACCATTTACAACTCCACAGAAAAAATGACATGCCCTTAAATGCAGCTGAAGAATGCAAGGAATAAAGTTGTTTACATTATAGTGTTCTGTTTAAATAGTTTCTCAAGACAGGCTAATGTTTTAAACAGCTTGATAAACAGTGTTCAGTTCCCTGYAGGATTTTCATATTATTAAAAATATTCTCATTTGTTCTTCCTCCTTCTACCATTTGGCTTCCTCTTTTGACTGAAAATTACATTATGGCACGACTGAGCAACCTTAAGAACCAACTCTTGCAGCTGTGCCCACAATAAACYCACCTTATTTATAGCCCCACCCCYAAATTTTTTAGACATGACCACCTTATAGTTATCATAAAACATTCCTTCATTCATTAACTTCAATAGTGTATCTATAAGAGTCATTATTACTTCATGGAAAACAATTAAAATTAGGAAAATAAGGCTTTTTCTCATGAGTGACAAAGCACTAATTAGCCAGAAGACCATGCAGCTGCAGCCATTTGCAGCCATAGCAGCAGAATGGCAGAAAAACCAATCCCTACCAGCTTTCAAGAGACAAAATTGCAAACCTRACATCCAGCCTTAAAATACGGGCTTAACAGGGCTTGCAGTAAGAAAGTATGGGACAGACCACCACCCAGGACCACTAAAACAGGCTCCCCAAAGATTAGGATGCTGATTTGTCCAGTAGAGCAGAAAAAAATTAGTGAGCCTGGTTATTGCAAAAGTCTACACTCACCTCTGCTGATTCGCTGCTTCTCTCCAGAGAGAATGCCTGGGCTGTCGATGATGCTGATGCTCTTCAGGACCTGGTTAGGCAGCTGGGAACACATGAACCTGCAGGAAAGGAAGGGACAAAAACCATTAATAACAGCTCTAGCTCAAATACAGATTGCTGCTTAAGGGCTCCCTGATATATATTTGATTTTAAAAGACTCAAGTGAGATTCAGAAAAGTTTTTGAATCCTGATGAACCTCTGTTTGGTAACTATACATGTCTAAGAAAAGAAAATACAGAGCTTCTCAAAAAAGAAAGCACAGGAAAAAACCTCATGAAACTGAACGTGTAAGTGCTGATAAGACTCCAGAATGTGCAAGAACCAACAACTTGGGCCTTGAATGCAGCATTATAAAGATTCCATCAAAACACCATTTTGCTAGGACCAAAATTAGTACACACGAGAGAAAATTCTTCATGTACTCCAGCTTATGCCCAAACTTAGACAGACTGGAAAGGGGAGCAAGCAGAAAGCTGTATTGACAATATGTTTATATTCCAGTTCCTGCCACACTTCCCTCTCACCTGATCCAGTGGTGTTTGAATGATCCCTACTCCCTAACCCAACACTCTCCTCAGGTATGGCACCAGTGAAAAGCASCAGTATCTCTCCCACAAACCCAGCCAAACCCTGCCAGAACCAAGAGTTCAAATTACACACAGTATGCTCTGAACAATAACCTCCTGCCTTCGCAATGGGAGACAAATTCAATGGTGGTATCACAGAAAAATAAATAATTCATGAGGACTCTGAGAGCTGTGCAGACCGCTCTGTGTGTTACATGCAAGCCACTCTGATGCTTCTGGGGTAGCTCATGACTGAAGAATTTCACTGCCCTTCATCCTTACCTGCCTCTAAGAGATTTGYATAAGAGTTTAATCTTCTTATCAGGGAGCAGCTGAAGATACTAAGGAGCACACACCTCCTCCTGCGAGGCTGCCCCACACAGGGTTAAAGGTGCAGCCTCAGATGGGCTGCCCTACATCAACCTATGGCTTCAGAAAGCACAGTACCTCAAAAAAACAGGGTATCAGACAGCAAATCTAGCTGTGCCTAGGTCAAACAAGACCTTAAAGCCAAAGATGATCTGAGTTAGCAACAGCTCAGCCAGTCAAATATCAGATAAAAAATGCAAACTATATAAAAATCCAGATGCTATTTCATACAATACAAATTATTCAAAAGAAATTGGGAAGAAAAGAGGTCCTTACACTTGTTTCACTTTGTTCTTCAGGAGACCTTGTAGCAATGAGCCTTTAACCAAGGCACAGTGTCCCTTCTTGGATAAATCAGAAATGGCAGCATCATATATGCCTCTCCCTGAAACCCAAGGGGGCACAAGGAAAGAGCAATCCTCTCAGCCTGACACAACCTTGGGGTATGTAAACCCCCATTACCCCAAGGTAATGTGAAATGTATTGCTTCTTTTAGCGGGACACCAGGCATAAAAAATACCTCATGTCTGAAGCAAACTCTTCCATTAGGGCTAATTTTCTACCAGCTTAAGAAATRCTTTTGAAAGAGCATTGAGGTACCATTTGAGAAAATTACATTATTTAAACTTGCCAAAACCTGATGACAGCACTCTGTCAAAGCAAACACATTATGTGGAAGCACAGTGGATGAGCRTAAGTGACAAAGAAAATACATTTGAACACGTGAATCATTACAAAAACASATACATCACTAGTATGTACAGCATGAAGTAGCTTTCATAAATGTGGAAGTATAAAGATTGAACATTCATGTGTGTTTTTTCTTATCACTCTGACTCAACCTTAGAGAGCCCAGTGCTTGCTCAGTATCACCAAGATGTTTCCAGACCTATCCCATGGGAAGAAAGGCACCCTTATGCCAGCTGAACAATACAGCAGTGTCCTGACTCAGGCACCACCCGAACTGGGACAGCTGGAAAAGACCATGAGAGAAAATAGAGATCTACAGGCCTCAGAAATGTAGACACTGCCACCTTTGCAGCTTTCATTTGTGGCAATGGGAGGAGAAAAGCATATGGTAAACACATGAAAGAGAAGGACAAACTCAGAATTAACTGGCTGTTAATTTATGKAATATGCCCATAAAATAAAGATGACAGATGGGTTAAAACTCTCACCTCAAACTGATATTTCAGACAACTTAAAACTGTAATGATAGTRGTATTCGAATATCTCTTTTCAACATTGAGACTTCTTTCTTAACATCTCACTTCATGTAGGTCATGAAAGTGCTGCATCATAAAAACCAGAACTACATACTATCCACCTGAATAATGACAGACTTTACCAAAAACTAGTGTTACAAACCTGCTGTATGAATGAGATGACTGTAACTGCCTAYGACACACCAGAATAGACCAGGACCGTGCATTTCTTCTCAGCAGCACTAATTTATTTATGGGCTTATCTGGTATGATGCAATATTCTTTCCTCACCAGCATCCAAGGGCACRCTAGGTCCTGTCCCCCTCTCCTTTCCTCCCCAGTTTTTCTTAAAGGTATACAGGAGAAAAAAGAGACTACTGGAAGAGTATCTCTCACAAGCAGTGAGACACAGAGGGCAATTAGAAGGGGTCACGGAAAAAGACAAAAGCAAAGTAACATCAATGAATTAATGCAGCTAATTACTGAATACAAGCCTTGATTGTGATACTGTGTTCTTGTTTGTTTCATTTTTTCCATTACCTCAGTCCCTGTTTCCTGTCATTTGGATTGTTACACTTGGATGGAAAGGGCACTCAACTTCATAGTCAAAGTGTTTGTTGCCCTAAGTTCCTCCATAAAACAAAACACTACAATTGGGAAACCATTAAAAAAATAAAATGGGGTCAGGGGGAGAAAAGAGAGAAAAGTCTATTAAGGCAAGAGTGAAAAATGTAATATTGGATAAAAAGAACTGCATGGCAAATGAGAGAAGGTAAAGTAAAATATGCAGCATGATTACAAGGGAACCTTGAAAGAACTCAAAGATAGTGAAGCCTAAGACAATTTCATCCCTGTGAAGTCATACAGAGAAAGGAGCTGGCAAGTTTTGAGAAAAGCTAGGGAACCATAAGCACTTAGATCTCCGCTGAACAACTAAGGAGCGGGCGTGACTGCTGGGGAAGATAAGGATGCTCACAGCATTTAATGTAACAATATCASAGTCACCAAAAGAACTGGAATACTTTAGTCAGTTACTTTGAGTAACATCGTTTTAGCTAGACAATGATTGCATAATATTCAGAACCTGACACAACTAGTTAGTCAGTTTAGGAAAAAAATTACATCACCCCACATCCAAACAAATACATGCTATTATTAAATGTTCTGTGGAAATATTTGAATATCATGCAAAATACAATTTACAGTACATTGGTTTTTTGTAGAGAGAGCACAATGGTGAGGAAAGGGAGAAACGGAATAGTGATCTGGAAGAAAGAACCTAGCCAATAATCTCAAAATTGTTGTTTAAAATGGGACTTAACTACAGCTTCCCACAGCACATATTCTTATCTCTGCAAAGCGATAGCCAAGCCAACTGTAAGCAGCTATAAACTTTCTTCTTTGAATCAGCACAGCCAAGAGATAAAACTGTACATGATGAACTTTTAACACTCATGCCAGTATTTATCGGCCAAACAGGAAAGTTTATTGTTAAAAAGAGCCAATTTAGATTAATTGGCTTGCAAAGTGAGGTCCCAATGTCAAGCTACCATCAAATACAGGAAGAAAACAAGGTGATTGTTCAGACAATAAGAACAGAGTTATTAGTAACTAACTTTCAACTGGAAATATATAGCATGCTACGTAAGTTTACTATGAAAATATTTTCAGCCCTTGAACAACTCTTCCCTTTTTGAAAATATACAGCAGAAGCTAACACCATCTCCCTGATCCATGGAACTACYTGAACACTGGGTAGTTGATATTAAACACTGAAGAGCTTGAGTTTTTATTTTATTCATCGGGCATATTTGAATCTTTCCCATTCTTGTAGGTCTTTTTACATAGCCCTGAAATTCATTATTTTAAATAGCTATATCGAGATATCCAGTGAAATCAGTGGAAAGGAACAAGACAGCATCAAAGGGAAAATAYTTGTCTCCTTTTTTTGAATAATAGTACTACTAATAATAGTACTAATCTATCAATTTTATTGAGTAGAATTTTTGCATAAACTGATCCAGAGTTCCACCTGGCATAACACCTCACAAACAAGTCACCCAGTGGAGCACTTATGCAGTTCTCTGTGAACTGATTTTAACAACTATTTTCTATTCAGATTACTGAATATCCCGACTTAATACTGCCTTTTTTTCGAAATTCACCTGAACTGCCACCTCTCCTGCTTGTATTTGAATATTTATTCCATTCTGTTCTAAATGCTTGTGCCAGAACATGCCAAAATTTAAACAAAATCATCAGAAGACAGGAAGCAAGAAGATSTCACCTGTTCAGGAAAGCATTTCCAAAGCGGCTGAGTTTCCGGAATGGCTTCTTAGGATCAACAACGAGAGCATTTCCAGGAACATTTCCTTCTGTTTCTCCATACATCACAGCAATAAAGGAATCTGTGGTAGGCTCTGGACCAATCCGCATGCCTGGAAAGTCTTGCTCCAGCAGGTATCTAGACATGGAGAATACATAAATGTATTTRTATATAATAGCTGTATTTGTACATAAATTTTAATAAATAAATTTAAATAATCATTGGTATCTGTGATGAAAGTAAATACCTATAATCTGCTTAAAAATTCCCAAGGATATGCACATTCTATAAGAACAGGATTACATTTTCCTGCATTTCRTTATTTCTGTTAACTGGGGAAGGAGGAAGAGAACATGATTAGTTTTTCACAACATCCAGGTAAAAGGTTAAGTAAATCCCTTTACAAAGACAGTGTGGAAAGCACTCCCTGAGCTGCAGCACCTCAGCCATTTAAGTGGATGTTTCTACCAATGATCCGTGTGCTGTAAGTTACTCTACAAGACACAGCTGCTTTTCTGAGTGTTTTCAAACCTATACCAGTGCTGTTGGTACAAAAAGGGAATGGTTTGAAGTTGCATGTGAGCAGATTTAGTTGGCTGACAGAGCTAACCCTTTAAGGACCTTGGTATTGGTCACTAAATATAACTCATCCYACCAAAGGCAGAGAGAACTGTTATCTGACAGTAAAGTTGTATCTGTTTGGGAGCGAGGAAATTTTATTTTTTGTTTGACCTGCATATCAAAAAGTCATTTTTAACTAAGTCAGATCTGCAGAACCTGAGGCTTMACAGTAAAGTACTTCCAAAAGGCACCAAGTCAGATGGTGCTATACCAGAAACCATCTTGCACCTCGCTTTGAGCAGTCCATGACAAAAGACACAGACAGCACATACTCAGCGGACAAGCTTTGACTTCCAGACAACAAGGTCTGAGATAAATTAAGTGTATATTTAAGCATTAAAATTAATGGAACCAGGGCATTTATTTACATAAAAAGCCTGCCTGCATCCCTTCATGGATGGCAAGTGYGAAGTAAAAGCAGTGCCAAGTCCTTCGAGCAAGCCTCCCTCACATTCTAGGACTACTGCCACTGTTCTAAGAGACACAGAAAACCCTGCCTAACTTTAAAGCATGAGTGTTACTGTCCTCAGTCACAACAGCACCATCTTGGCCCTCAAGACTAACAGTTTTCAATRTCACCCTGGAGCTCTAATAAAAAACAAACTGCAATTTTAATCAATTACAATTTATCTATTTACRTAATCAAAACTGGATTTACATGAGAATTCTTCTTCAGGCACAGGCGGTGGTCCTACATACAACAACAGCACGAGTTACATTTTAGTGCATCTATGTTAACACTGCTCTGGTAATAAAGGTTTATTCTGGACTTAATCCCACAGCACTATGCCTAATCTGCTATAATTTTCTGAATCAATACTGACTTGAGAAGACTTGCTGGCTTCTTTTGCTGCAAAAACACATGTTACATAGAATCTATACTTGCTGAACAATCTCTGTCATTAAATTGAGTACCCAAGCATTCACAAACTTTACAGATCAGAGCACAGAAGCTGAGTTAAAGGAACTAAATATATGCTACATATTTCAAAGACTGTGTTCCACTGGCCTAAGCAAACACTCTCCAACTAGCTCAAACTATGATCGGGAACATAGAACAATTATTTACATGAGATTTCCTGCAGATTTCTGGTTCCAAAAATTTGGTTTTTTGGAATGGCAATACTAAAACTTGTGAAGAAGGAGAAACATAAGAACAAACATGCCAAAGGCAATCTGTTCTACCGCTGGAATAATCTGAACCTATYGCACAGTAACAGGGAAATAAAATTGACCCCTCCTCAAAAGCAAATGACAAACTCAAACCTCTCTGCCCACACAGGTTTGCAAATTGCAGCCAATCCCCCACCTTACAAATTAGATCATGCAACAAAATGAAGACAAAACACCTTTAATTCAATTCAGCAGCTGAACCCGGATGGAAATCCAGGACTTTCAAGTGTTGTGGCAAACAGTGGAAAACCTGAAACACAAAAGTGTGTTCCCTCCTCTTCAGACAGCAACACTGCAGACCAGAATGCTCTAAAACAGGATGCCAACACTAACTCACAAGAGCCACTAATTTCCCAGATTGGAGTTATCCACGGCTTTGATTTTGAAAGATCAATTATACTTTAGTCTTCTAAAATAAGGWTTTTAACTTGCCATGATAAAATGCTCTGCTTCAAACGCTGCTTTTTCTCATTGTCCTTCTTTTGAAAGGGAAAGGATCTCTAAGAGACTCGTAAATAAACTCTCCTCTTGATACAAATTGTCATTCCCAGGCTTCTGCTGACAGAGGCAGCAGTTCATAAGGTGGCAGATGACACACACAAGAAGCTCAAGAGTGGCAGTAAAGAGTATTACACTGAATCAAATGCACAGGAGTGAATCCCACATCCCAGGCCAAAGAAAACTGTATGGTGGGATCTGAATGCAGGAGCAGACACCCCCAGGGTGACAGGATAATTGYCATATATTGTAAACTCATGAATTATGGCATGATTATGGACATTCGCTGGTGATAGTCTTTYGGATGCCTAAAATAGTAATTTCATGGCCTACTCAAAAAATTTTAGAAGTGTTACAAGTACCCAGCACCTTTCAGGATTTCCAAAATCTCTATTTGTTGCTCTGAACTCGACAATGCAAATTCAGATTAGCTGTTTATTGAAAGGATTAAACCAAAATAAAGTGCTACTGAACTGCAAGGATACTTCCAAGTTAATGTCACAAAGGCAGTTTTAAAAAACAGGCTTTACAGCGATAACGATCCAGGAAGGCGAGACCTCCTTCCAAATACCGAGCCCCACCCAACAGTCACAATGCTCTGCCTGCTACAASCATTCAACAGACACAGAAATCACTCTGCAACACAGGTATTTTCCATTAACGCTGGCTCACAATCGAACATCAAGAATTAGTACAGACTAAAATAAACCCGTTCTTGAGCACTGGCTGTGCTCAAGCGTGATGGGTTTGGCTGGGACAATAACTMCTCTGTGGCTGTGTTTTGGATCTGTGCTGGAAGGTGTTGGCAATGGAGGGATGTCTTCATCAGTGCTGTGAGCAGCACTCAGAATCGAGACCTTTTCTGCCTCTCACCCCACCAGCAAATAGCTGTGGCGAACAAAGAGTTAAGAGGGGGCACAGATGGGACAGCTGATCCCAACTGACCCAAGSGATATCCTGCACCATATGGCATCACGCTTAGGGGGAGAAGGAAGAAGGAGACACTTGGAGTGACAGCATTTTCTCTTCCCAAGTCACTGTTATATATGATAGAGCCCWGCTTTTTTGGGAATACCCGAATACCTGCCTGCTCATGGAAAGTAGTGAACGAATTCTTTGCTTTGCCTTGCTTGTGATGCTTTTACTGTACCTACCAAACTGTCTTTACCTAAAGCCATGAGTTTTCTCACTTTTACCATTCTGATTCTCCCCCCATCTCACTGTGCAGGGTCTGAGTGGCTGTGTGGTGCTTGGATGCAAGCTGGAGTTGTGGGGTGGGCTAAGCCACAACACACTGTATCAACTTCCCAGCATGAAAAACCAGTTTTATTTACCCACACAAAAGTAACAGCAGTCTTCTGCAAACTGAAAAGCTGCCAACATTTCTGTACCAAATACTACATTAGCACAGGAAAATACCTGGACTTTCAGCATCTGCAACTGCATGGTCTTCTCAGGAATTTTCAGCAGAGAAGGAGTTCAAAAAGGTTCACAGGAAGAATTGGCTTAAAAATAGCCAATGCCCCAAAGACAGTCTAGATCAAACAACAGAYATCCTGTTGATTCTTGTCTCTTTGTTTTTACCTGGGCTATAACCTTTCAGCTTTGCCAATAAACATTCATCTATGTTCCTCTGCAAGATGTATAGCCAGACTAYGGGAAACTAGTTTACAAAGTTCCAGRGACAGAAAAGATTACTCACAGTTGCAGATACAGATTATCATCTGAGCTCTAAATGCTTTAGCTGGGCCATACTAATGCAYGAACAGGGAGCTGGGCAGAGCAGCACTGAGCAGGGACACCCTGGGATGCACTGGGAGATAAACTCATGGCTCCTTTATAGGGCTGCTCAGGCTGCTCAACTCCATACTGCACCAAATATTCCGCTTCTTTTTAAACACAGCAAAACCAGCAGATGTTTGCTTTAGTGTGAGAATTCTGCTCTAAATAATGCAAAGCTTTCATGYAGAGCTAGTAAGAAAGAAAATACAGCATTCACCCAAGGAAATGAAGAGGGGCCTCACCCCCAAATAAATAGATGCAGCTCCACAAGCGATTGAATGCTACTTGCAGAATCCAGATATTATGCATACAAAAGGGTGCTTTCACAAAACTCAGCTTTGGCTGAGTTAAATAGCAGGAAGTTTACAATTTTTAACCTCTGAGTAATACCTGTGAGCAAAGTCAAAGCACAGCCTGGCAATCTAAGGAATTTACTTCTGGTTTGTCTCATGTTGATAAGTTCTTTTAAAAAACATCAGACTCCTACACTTTTAAAATAGAAAAATAAATTWCAAGTTAAACATCACTAGACTAAAAGTTTAACTGTTAGGAGAAAAACTACCTATTTGCATTGACTATCTCCTACCTCTTTTTCATATAGCACAATGCTCCTCGTCTGTCCCTCCTTTCCCCACTTGTCTTTTTCTAAAACAGGCATGAGAAATTGAGACAATTACAGAAGCTGCAAGGCCAAGCAGCTCTCATGTAAGACAAGCAACTGGCTCTCACCATACTCCCACTTCATTAAACACCATCAGACAAGCATTAACATTTGGATATATTTGTTTGAATTGTCAGCATTGACAAATACTTGAATAAAACTATCACCACACTACACCTTAGACAGCAAAACTGGCTGGTCTCACTGCATTGTTCCAAGTGCCAAAGCGGATAAACAGCATTGAGTGAAAAAACATAAGAGCTGTTAGAAACCTGGAAGTGTTTGTTTGCATATCTTAACCCCCAGGGACATTTAGTCACTGGCAGATCAGTGTTTTTCATAAAGATTTAGTGGAAGGAACTGGGTGGATGTGGATGTGTCGGAGGTATGAAAATGTGAAGGTCTCACGATAACGTCTAAGTCAAAGTAAATCCCAAATGAATATTTGACAGCTAAACAGCATTGTTATGCTCACATGTAAACACAATAGCAAACACTTAGGCAGACCTCCTGACTACAGAGAAATGTGACAAAAAAGCAGTTTTAATTAAGATTGAAAATTATGTTTTCTTATTAAAAGGTTTGAAAGAATAAAACTCCTACAGAGCTTTAATGAAGGAAAAATTTCTACAATAAAGCTAGAACTATAACAATCTTGAGAGGGTATCCACATCTTTCCATGGGAGATTCAGCCTGCCAGAGGGAAAATTTATTTCTGGCTGACCTGGACATTGTAATATTTTCCCATGTCTTCTTTTAACTCTYGCTCACATCATACGAGCACTTCTCTTTTTTTGCCCTTCTTTTTCTCCTCTAAATTGGATTTTGAGTTACAGTCACTGTGACACTATTGTCTAAGTTGCAGCCCATCCTGAATGGAGCGTTTTTTCATGCTGATTCAGCCAATTAYTATCTACTCTATAGAGAACACTGAGGTGATGAATGATGATCATGAGGTCCTTCAGAAGCAGTAAAAGATATTCTGCTACTGATTCGGGCTCAACAGTCACTGCCTGTCTTCTCCAGTATCTCCAAACCACTCTGCAACCCCCTAAATTTGGGACAGGAGAAGGGGGTAAGAGGGKAAAGGGAAGGGCATATCCAAGCAGAAGTCACCTCCTGCATCAAGTCAGATATTTTAATAAAACACATGAGAAACCATCTTTGAAAAGTTGGTTTTCTCTTCTCTGTCAAAACTGTCTGGGCATTTTCATCTGGCATTGCCAAATGCTAAAAAAAGCTGTCAGGAGCTGTAATAAATTATAGGTGTTTTCTCATTCAGACTCTACATTAGYAGCAGTCAACCCCATTGATCCGTATTTTACTGTTACAGTGATAACAAGTTAYTCACAAAGCAACAGTAGCAAAAATACACCTAAGGCAGTGCAAGCCTGTGTTTCTAAGCACAATACTGACTTGCACTTCAGTCAAATACGGGAAACTTTAAAGGACAGAAAAGTCGAATGTCCACAAATCAAGAACTTGTGTTCTCAACCGAGACAAACTCTTGGAGGAGGAGAGAAATAAAGTTTTCTACGAATTGCAAATAACAAAACAACTCTGCTGACAGGCAGAACAGGTTCTAGTATGCACACATTTGGGACCGTTCTGCCTCCCTCTGTATTACCCATGTTCCCCCATCCCTTGGCCATAAGCCAGGTCTAACAAGGCAATTGTAGTTTTAAAGAAGAAAATGAATGAGTATGCCTAGAGAAATGTTAGGAAAATCCAAATCAACCACACCTTGTGGGGGAATCCAACCAACACCTTCTTGTGTCTGTGGAGATGATGAACTTTCTTTTAATTACAGCCCTATTTTTAAAATATTTCTCTGAGCAACACCCCTTTACATGTTTGCAGGAATTCAGTAATAATCAGTAAAGAAACCAAGTTCAGCTTCAAGCTTTCAATTAGCTAGTTGTAAAACCAGAAAAGACACATGATTTGTTCTGTAAACATCTGAAAAGCTCTCAGGTGATTAAAGGCAAACATTGCTCTTCAATGGAGAGGGAAGGTAGGTATTTTGCACTGCAAATAGAAAACAGTGTTATGGCAAGGCTGCCTGTAATCTTTGGAACTGGAAAACAAATATTTATACATTTTACAGAAGGACTATAATGAACTTCAGGCATAAGCAGGTCAAAATGTGAACCAAGTGATGATTCAGTGCCTTTTGCAGAGCTGCGCACAACCTCAGACTGATTTGTAAAGGGCTGAGAGGGAAATTCGAACACATGCAAAATATTCACAGGTTCGTACTATTTGGCTTACCACAGATATGCTTCAGTTTCCTAAAAATGAGATACTAAAAAACTTAGAAATAAGAAATACAGAAAAAGACAGAAAMTACCACAACAGGAACAACTCTGTTAAGCTGCCTTAGTAGTGATACTGTTTCTTCAATACAACTAATTAAAATAAAGGCTCATGGAACGGGAGGCTGCCCAGATACCACGTATTTTTTGCCCTAAACTCGCCATGTTACTCTTTTGGAGTAACATGGATCACATGCGATCCATGCATTAAATTACTTTTGGGAAAGGGGAGGAGGCAAGGCTAAATGATCCCTGATGGCCAGCGCAGTCACACCTTTTTAACACAAAGCCCCTGGTTTTGCTTTGAAACAGCTTAGAGTCTAAAAGGACTAAGAGGAAGTAGGCAAMGAGGTTACTCTTCCTCAGCAGGACATGAAACAGCGCTAATATTCTTCAACAGGAAGCTAGCGGGCAGCTCCAGAGCGTGTCACAGGCTCGGGACGGCACAGCACGGGGGCTCTGGGGTGAGCCCCGCTGGTCGGGAGTGTCGCCGGCCCCGCCGCTGTCACCGCACGGCGCTGGCGGGCCCGCGGCTCCGGGGCGGAGAGGCGCTGCCCCGCACGCCAGGGCGTGGGAGGGATTGACCGCAGGGAGCACCAGCCGGGAGGAGGGGAGCGGGGATGAGCGGGGGCTGTGCACGCCGGGGTCCCTACCGGATGAAGGTGGTCTTGCCGGTGCTGTACTGCCCCACCAGCAGCACCATGGGCTTGTTCTCGAAGTCGGCCTCCTCGAGCGCGGGSGAGTGGAACTCATGGAAGCGGTAGTGCTCCTCCAGCGGCAGCAGCTTGCGGAGGTACAGGTCCCGCAGCCCGCCCGTCACCGTCTGCACCACATCGGCGCCGCCGCCGCGCTCCCGCCCGCCGCCCTGCTTGCCCAGCCAGCTGAACATCCCGCCGCCGCTGCCGCCCGGCCGCACTGTCCCTGTCCCTG